TTCAAACATTGGTATTCTTGCAGCACCTGGCTTCGGGCTCCGCTGCAACTTCACACTCTAGCGGCGATACGACCATCACACGAGCAGTGAATCCTCTCGGCCTAACCATCTGTGATGTCGTCGTCTGCGCAACCGCTGCAGGAAGACTCGGTAGCATTCTTCACAAACATAGGGACCATGGCTGCTGCAATTTTTGAAAAGTCTGACGTCCACTCCTCTCGGATCTCTGCATATTCTGACCGCGTGGTTGCAGTACGCGATGCATTCAAACTACTTTACGGCAAAGAGCCGATGCTTATCTCTCGAGCACCAGGTATGTGGGATAGTGAGGTTGAACAGTACGAACAGCTGTTCCGCTTGTGTAGAGAGGTCAAATTCTTGAGTCATCGTCGCCTTCACGGTTACAAAACATGCCCATTTCTGAGCCCGGCTGGACGCAGGGCGTGTGAATCTCATCGGCGAGCACATTGACTACGAGGGGTACGCGGTGCTGCCCATGGCCATTCACCTGGATACCCTTGTCGCCATCAGCTGTGCACGGACGCCAAGCACGGGGACACCTGCGTGTAAGGAAGACTCGCCTTTCCCGCCTCGCCTGCGCGTGGCGAACATGGACCCCGTCAAGTACCCTGCCACGGAGTTCAGCATCCACGCCAAGCAGGTAGCTCGAAGCTCACGGCCCATAGCTCAGGCCGCATATAACTCAGCCCACAGGCGCTCGATTTTATCTGTCTGTCAGGTCGACCTGTCTAAGTCGACCAGCTGTCCCGTGAAGCCTGTTGATCCAGCAAGTGTCAATCTGTACTTGAGTCAGGCATAATGTTGAGTTCAATGCCTTGCAGGAAGTTGATACAAGCAACCACAGCTGGGGCAGCTACTTTCTTTGTGGGTATGGTTCCTCCTCCGTCAAAAAATCGCTGCTTACAATCTATTTTTGTTCTTTTTAAAAGGTAATCTCACATGCTTGTTTCTTTTACTGCACGTTTAAACTATTGTGCCACTTTCTGTGCTTCATGCTTGTGTTGTGCAATCAGATACAAGGGCGTCTGGGACCACGTGCACGAGACAGGGGGTAGAGAGGAACCAACTCTTGGTCTTGATGTGCTTGTGGATGGCTGCGTGCCTCTTGGTGAGAAGAACATTGCCCTCTGGTTCCCCGTGCGCGCTTGTCATTCTCCATGCCCGTACAAGTTCGTGTTCTCCCACCTCAGCCACCTCATTTGGACCTCTGCTCGCTTCTCCGTCTTAGGGCTCTGGTGCTTACCTACTTTGCTGCCCGTCTGTCTCTTCTCATGCGCCACTGTGTCCAGGGTCTGGCCTCTCCAGCTCAGCTGCCCTCGTGTGTTCCGCTGCCATCGCTGTCATGGCCGCCCTTGGATTCTCCTTCCCCAAGGTGCTGCTCCCGCCCTCATTCTCTCTTGTTGCTCCCTCAAATGTGTCTCCTCATCCGTTTCTTTTCTTAAGCCTTTCTGTGATGCTTTCCCTGAAAGTCACGTGGCTCTGTCTCTCCCTAAGTATCTCTTCTTACTGCCTCCCACTCAGGCGGAGATAGCTGACCTGGCATGCCGCTGCGAGCGATACATCGGCACTCAGTCTGGCGGCATGGACCAGGTGACGTTCGTTCCATGCTCTAACTGTCCCCCCCCAAGCGTGCTTGTTCTTGCAAGGGAAGGGATACAGCACAGGTAGCAAAAACATACATAGAGAGTCCTCGAGCACAGCTTAGTAGGAAGCAGAGGGTGAGTGCACCATGTGCAGCAGAGTGAGTCGAAAGGGGTGGCTTAAGGGTAGACAAATTGTAGGGAGGGGGGAATGGGCATGAGAGAGGTGGATTGTTTAAGAGCAGCTGTGTTGGGCTTGCTCCATGCGACGCTCGCTGCGACTGAGGTGGTCATGCAGTGCTGGTGGACATGGCATCCTGGCTTCCAAGTGGTCGTGCTGAGGGGTCTGCAGCACCACGACTAGCGCTGTCAGGTGGTGCGGAGCTCTAACAGCTGCATGGGGAAGCATGTCCGCTATGGGCTTTAACTGCCATGGCAAGCTGTCAGCCCTTATATCACATATGTGGCACAGGGAGCTCACCCTCCCTCTATTCACCCCCGCAAGAAGCATGAACTGAGTTGCACATCTCCCTTTCACTGCTTCCATGCGTGCCCGGTTTCTCCCAGGCCATTTCCATCTTTGGAGAGCGCGGCGTGGCGCAGCTGATAGAGTTCAACCCCGTGAGGGCGCACCCGGTGCCGCTGCCGTCCACCGCCGTCTTCGTGATCGCCAACTCCCTGGCAGTCTCCAAGAAGGCCGAGACTGCCGCCACCAACTACAACCGCCGGGTTGTTGAGTGCCGCCTCGCCGCTGTGAGTTGGGGGACGAGCAAAGCGTGGGCGGCTGTGTCATGCTGCAGGTTTGGAATATTGGTGATGGTGCGCGCTTCTGTTCTTGCACCCGATTTCATTGGTCCATTCCTTTTCCCATTCCTCCATGTGTTCCCCACGGCACCAGATGGTACTGGCAGTGCGGCTGGGCATGGAGCCTGCCACAGCCCGCACCTCCATCAGCACACTGGCAGACGTGGACGCCCTCTGTGCTGCCAGCAGCGCGTCACCACAGCCACCGGACGAGCACGCTGCGCTGGATGCTGTGCGGGTGAGTCCTGCCTGCACACCGCATGCCATGCCACGTCTGCTCCTTTCCCAGCAGGACAGCCAATTCCCAAACAGTGGGTTACAAGGCCCACACTTGTCAGTGTCACTCTGCACACCTGTGATTCTAAGCTGCCTTGGTCTGCCTGTGTGTGCTTCTGATCTTCCCTGCAGCGCTGCCTGCATGCGGACCCGTACAGCGCGTCAGAGATTGAGGCTCTTCTTCAAGCACCACTTGCCTCTGTCTTTGCCAACTCACCAACCTCCCTCGCTGTCATTGCTGCCGCCACCGAATTCAAGTTACAGCAGGTGTGCTCGCTCATGTAGCAACGCATGCTCGTGTTCACTCTGAAGTTATGCCCCAAGAGCTATGCTCATTGTCTTGCCACCCCGTAGCTGCTCAATTGTTGAACTTTGGCGGTCGAGGTCAGCAGCCAGCAAGGGTGCCTTAACGTGATCACCATTTCTTGCCTTTCCCCGGATGTGCATGCATGAACGCTAGCTCAGTCTGTCATGTCGACACCCCTGTCTGTAGCATTGACTGGGTCCACCTACATGTGCGTCCCTATCTCATTCCCTTGTCACATCCTCCATGCGCCCTCTGCACCCACCTGCGTGGGTGCAATTGTGTGTGCTTGTGCATGCATGCACCCACGTGGCATCCACTGCATGATGCCAGAGGGCTCTTCATGTGTATGCGGAAGCTCATCGCGTCTTTGCATTCAGGGACGCTGCTCTCTCTGCACCTTCTGACTGGTAAGCCACTTCGTTTGTATCCCTCTCTCCACCTCGTTGGGTTTTTTCCTTAATGTGTCATGTGCACTGTTCACACAACCCCTCGTTATCTCAGTCTGGATGTGCATGAAGAGTAAGACGAGGGCAATCGAAACCAGGGCACATGAGCATGACCTAGATTGGGAGCCAATGCACGCTCTATTCAGGATTATCTCAGCACCTGCCGCATCCTTCCTATTGTTGACTGTCTTGCTTGGAGTCTGCATATGTTGCTTATTGGTTCATTGAGGAACCATCATCTCTGTCCCTCTCATCTTTTTGCATAACCGCTCATTCCTCTTAACCGTCCTCGCATCACCCAACATGTTGTCAGAGTCTCCCTGTTCTCCGTTTTATGTGACCCCGGAATGTTTATGACTCGTTTTTATCGCAACCTCTCGTGCTGGTTTGCACCCTTCTTGTTTTTTCACTGCCACCACAGTGGCTTTCGCGTCATGCCTTGCTGCCCTCGCGTCGCCCCGCCTCCCCCCTTCTCCTCTTCCCCCCCTCTCTCTTTGCTTCCATCCATGCTCCCTGCTGCAGCTCTGCACCCGCCCTTTCAGCAGCCCCCTCTGTGCTGCTCTCGCTTGGCCGCCTTATGGACGACAGCCATGCTAGCTGCCGCGACCTCTACGAGTGCAGGTGAAGCATGAGTTAGCATGGCAGGCACTAGTGTCTCTGGGAGGAGTGAGTGAGGTAGGCACAAGGGACGGACAGCCGGCTAGGTTGAGAGCCTAGCACTGGCCATGGAAAGGTGCAAGGCACATGTAGGAGGCTGCTGCTGTCTTGTTCTGTGCCTCTTCATTCATCTCCCCTCCACTGCGTCATCCCTTTCAGCGACTGCATCCACTCCTGCTCTCTGCATGCCGTCGTGCTGGCTTCCTCCAACGTCAACGTTAACACTCCCTGTCCGTCCCACGCCCTGCCTGGGAGTGCCACAGTTCCCCCGAGCTCGAGCAGCTGGTGGCGTGCTGCAAGGCACACGGCGCCCTGGGAGCCCGCCTCACAGGCGCTGGCTGGGGCGGCTGTGTGGTGGCGCTGGTGCACGCTCATGAGACAGACTCCTTCCTCGCGCACCTCAAGGTATTGTGGCTCAGGGCACCTTGCACTGAGCCACTTGCACTCCTGATGGAATAAGCTATTATCCTCTGCGACTCACCGCGCTCTTGTGCTTCTTCCCCTGTGCGCACTGCAGGAAGACTTCTATGCACCCAAGATTGCCGCCGGCACCATCACTGCTGCCGACCTGCCCAACTGTGTTTTTGCTTCCCACCCTGCAGCAGGGGCAGCCCTGCTCAGGCTCTGACCACCTGCGCGCCCTCCCTCCTCTGCCTGCTTTAGTTGCACATGAGTTGCAGGGCATGCTGCCCACAAGGGCTAGGTTACTTTTAGTGCCATGTCATTTTATTAATGCTTCACTATTTTACGGTACAAGCATTTCATTTCATACATGGAAAGCGTTGCCCACTATCCATGAGTGAAGCTGGGCCCACAAGCCCCGGCACCACAGCTGGCAGCAGCAGGCATCCATGCCAGGGGTCGCTGCTCCCACCACCTCCTCTCTGCCTGCTCCCCCATTGCCCACTCTCACTCCTCTTCCCCTCGCTCCTCGCTTCTGCCACCGCTGCTGGGCCTAGCAGCAGTGGAGGAGGGGGCATGAGAGCAGTGGGTGAGGCACAGGGCCTGCCAGTGCGTGTCGGGGTCGGGGTTGGGCAGGGGTGCGGGTGTGAAGCACATGCAGCGCGGCGCAGCGAGCATGTCGAGCAATGCCTCAGCGATGGCCGCACAGAGCAGCAGCGCCAGAGGCACCGACTCCTCACGTGCCACCTCCACCACGCACCCCCTCCAGTTCACCAGCGCTGTGGCATGCGCCAGCCCGCCCCCCCCAGTGTATCGCACTAGCGTGGCAAAGCCGTGCTCCTCTGCTGCTGCCGCCCCGCACACAGTGTAAGACAGGTGCCGGCCCGGCAGTAGCGCCACCTGAGGATAGATGGAGGGGGGAAGGGAGAGGGAGCGGATGGGGTGGAGAGGTACGGGAAGAGATAAGGAGAGTGATGGGTGTATCAGGAATGCATCACGATAAGGGGCAGCGTTGGAGAGACAGGGACGAGGAAAGCAAGAGCGGAGGCAGGGATTAGGAAGAGGCAGAGGCGGAGGCAACGCACCTGATGGCCGCCCTCCTCCTGCAGGTCCAGCTGCAGTGAGCCTGGCACCAGCGCCCCATCCACCACTCTGCACCGCACTCCCAGCTCCGCCATTGCTGCACCAGGCAAGCAGCCCATGAGCGCATAGCGCACCACCAACTCCCCCCCTGCACCCATCCCTCTCTGCTCCCTCTTCGTGGTACCGTGTCCCCACTGCCCCCCTCCCCCACCTCGAGGCACAGCCTGCGCCAGCACTGGCCCGCGGCACACCCCCATGCGTTCATGCAGGGGGGCGCTGAGGGGCAAGGGCGTGGCGTCCGTGGGCACATAGCTCCAACCCCCCTGCTCCACCGCTCCACATGCCGTTGGGGGGTGAGAGGGATGGGGGAGACGTCATGACAAAAGAGTAGTAGGTGAAAGAGGTGGGAGGGCAAGGGAAGTGGAATGAAGCAAGGTAAGGGCAGAGATGGCACAGGCTGATGGAATGGTGACACAAGCAGAGTGATTGGCACAATGTGCTGATGCAGCAGCCACGTGGTGCTGCTATCAAATGCCATTACCTGATGCAACCACCAGATGCAACCACCTGATGTTACTGGTATCAGTTGATGCGATCACGTGATGCAACCTTCTGATGTCATCAGTTGATCCGATCACCTGACGCAATCACCTGATGATGCCACCCCACCTGATGCAATCACCTGATGCAGCACGATTGTCCGTTCCGTCGGCTGAACTGGCTTTGGGCGCTTGTGGTCCCCCCACACTCCCTCTGCCACTCTGCTCCACGGCTCCAAGGGGTGGGGAAGAAGTGGTGCCGGGCAACAGACAAAGTCAGGAAGAGGGGCGGGGTGGAGGGCAGGGGAAGACAAAGAGACATGGATGAGTGGGGAGGTACTAGTGTGGTGTAACAGAGGCGGCATGGAGTATGAGACCAGGGAAACAAGTGGTGTGGGCGAGCATGCAGAAAGGCAGACATCAACGTGCAGCGCGAGTGACATGCACGCACTTGCCTTCATGTACCCACCACTTATCTGCTTTGCCTCCCACCTGGTGCGCATGACAAACGCCTCGATGCCCCTGTGGTCCAGCACTGTGCGTGACACCCACTGCCCCGCCTGATCTCCACACATATCCAAGCCATGCGCACGCATGCACAATCGCATGCGAAACCACACACATGCATGCCGCACATGCAAACGCATAGGATTCATGCACATAAAAACTCTTGCAATCGGAAACATCAGGACCGCTTCATGGTTTAATACCCTCGCCTGACCCCTTGCTTGCCAGTCCGCTCGCCCCTCTCTTGTTTTCACCTGAGGGTGGTGCTGAGCCAGGGCGGCGCAGAGCATGGCCCCGCGGTCATCAGAGGCGCACACAAGCACGGCGCGCAGCAGGAATGGCGCTGCCGTGGCAGGGGTCAGCGACACGCCCACCTGCAGCCCTGCCTGCCCCGCCACACACCGCACACTGCCCTCCGCCCTGCCTCCACCCCCACCCACCCTCTCCCCCTCTTCTGCTGCCCTCGCCGCCAAGCCACTGCTCCCTGGGGCAGCTGTGCTGGCCGTAGTGAGAGGGGCCGTGGCAGCGGCATAGGCAGCGGGGGTGCAGCCTGGGGGGGCGAGGGGCAGCACGCAGTGGAACAGCAGCGAGGGGTGCTGCAGCAGGCGGTGCCACGTGAGCACCGCCGAGCCCAGCTCACGGGGAGCGGGGGGGAGCAGCCAGGGCAGCAGCGAGGAGAGCAGCGAGGGCGAGTGGGCGTGCAGGCTCAGCCGCAGCCCCTCCGAGGCCATCTCCGCCTGCAGTGAGAAGCGGTGCCGCCAGCGCGGTGGGGGGGCTGCCGGATGGAAGGGCAGCGTGGGCGTGCGGGCGGAGAAGGCAGGGGCAGCGTGGAGGGCGGAGAGGCAGACGGAGAGGCAGTCAGGGGCGGGCAGCAGCAGCCCTCTCACGGTCCACACGGTCACCTCCACGTCCACTGTGCTGCGCTGCCACAGCCCCAGCCCTGCATTCGCCTCGCCCGCTCTCACACGCCCCGCCACTGCCATGCTCCGCACCTTTGCCCCCTGCTCGTCTGTGCTCCAGCTTCCCACTCTCTCCTTGTCCGCATCTGCTTCCTCACTACTCCTCAACTGCTGCTCCACGTGTTTCCGCCGCTGCTGGCTCTCCACATCTGCCCCTGCGGCGCTGTCTGAACGGCACTGGGTGCGTGCCCCTGAGCCCTCCTGCCCGCCTGCCCCCACTGCCGCTGCCTGCTGCTCGCGGCCCACAGCTGCCCCGCCCATGCGCATACTCGGTGGCAGGGAGCTTGCATGAGCGGGGGGCACGCCCTCCCACAGCAGCGCCGTCGCCCTCTGCGCCGCCTCCACACGCCGTGCCACCGGCGAGGACGGGCCCGCCAGGGCGCAGGGCGAGCAGGCGAGGGCGGAGGCAGGGAGGGCGGGGTTGGGCGAGAGGGAGGTGGCGTGGGCGATGAGGCGCCCCACCAGGTGGCGGCAGTCCGTGGCGTAGGCGCGCGCACACATCTGGGGCGATGGGGGGGGAGGTGGGGGGGAGGGGAAGAGGGGAGGGGGCGGGCAGCGGATCAGTGAGGAGGAGGTGAGAGGAGAGGTGGTGAGGCAAGAGCAGGGGTCATGAGCATGTGTGTGCATGTTATGACTCCATGCAATGCAAGCTAGCAGGATATGTTCCATGTGTGCATGCTACCATGTGCGCATGCCAGATCAGGTCGATGTCAGAGGTGGGTGTGAGGAGCGTCGCTGAGTTGGTCTTCAAGAGGCAGAGGAACATGCGGTAGCGCTGCACTGACCCCCTCAGGTATGCCGCTTGCACCATCCATGGCCGCTCCACCTGCCACCACACATGCCCCATGCCCCATGCACCATGCACCATGAAGCACGCAACATGCGGCACAGGTTGAGATGGAGAGAAGTGAGAGGAAGGCAACTTTCAGGTGAGCCAGCATAATCACCACAGCACCACCTCTCGCAGCACACGGCACCACCTCTCGCAGCACGAGTGAGCGCCCCTCACCTGGAGGAAGAGCCCCCTCTGCCGCAGCACAGCGGCCCTCAGGTCATACTGCACGTACCGCCCCTCTCCTGCACCCTCTGCCGCCACTCCGCCCTCCGCCCCTGCAGCTGCCAGCACCGCCACCGCGCCCGGCACGCTTGACACCACTGCCGCCCCAGTGCCTCTCAGGGCCCCCGTTAACGCGCCTGCATGCTCGCCTGGCGCACAGCGCAGCCTCTCGCCTCTCTGCACCTCCACACCGCCTAGGCTACAACTTGCTCCTCCGCCCTCATTGCAACACCCACAGCCCTCCCCATGGCTCTCCCCTTCTGCCCCTTCAGCCCTGCCTTGCGCCTCCCCTCTCTCCGCAGCCTCTCGCCCGCACTGCTTGCTCTCCACCGCACCGCCGTTGTCGTCATGGCCACCTCCCCGCCCATGCTGTGAGGCATGCGCCCCACGAGGCACGCACGGGTCGTAGGGCTCGTGCGGAAACAGCCTGCCCCACACCCGCCGCGCCGCTGCCTCTGCTGCCTCCCTCCCGCCTGCTCCTGCTGCTGCTGCTGCTGCTGCAGGCCGCATGCGAGGCGGCAGGGTGGTGAGGGGAGTCGCACTCACTGGTGTCAAAGACTGCTTGCTCCACCACTCGACCCACCATGGCCTCGCACTCCCTGCTGTACGCCTCCTGCTCCCATCGCCATGCATGCGTTTTGCACACGTGCGCGCGCACACACACACACACACGCACGCACGCACACGCACGCGTGCGAAGAGCACGTAGTGAAGTGTTCAGGGAGGCAGGGCAAGAAACACAGAGCGAGGTATGGCACATGTGGGCAGTGGGGATGGGAAGGCAGCAGCAAGCAGATACAAGCGAAACACATTGGGCAAATGGAGAACTTCGCAGCACCAGCAGGAGCGTTCAGTCAGTGGCGGAGTAGCACAGCTGCATGGCAGCACGGCAGCACTGGTAGCAGAGGCAGAACGGGCAGCAGGGGCAGGCAAGCAGTGCAGGAACATACGGGGTTGAGGCGGTGGCAGAGCCAGACCCATTCCACGTCGATGGGCGGCAGCACGCGGCACATTTCGTCGTCACTCACCCGCCCACCCACCTGCACCCACCACCGCTCGTACCTGCTCCGTGGGGGGAGGGGCGCACGTGGAGGGGATGTGGCGCGCAGAGGATGAGAGCAGGGAGCGACGCAGCGGGGCAAAGCGACGCGCATTCAACGGAGGGCACACGAGTTTGCGCAGCAGGAGGGGCGCGCACCAGGAGGGGCGGGCATGGCGTGCCTGCGGATGGCGGTATCGAGGGCGGGCCCCTCGTCGCACAGCCCGCCGTGCGCCTGCACCCTCCGCAGCAGCGCCATCAGGTGCCGCGCCGCCGCCGCCACGTCCGCTGTCACCCGCACCGCCTCCAATGCGCGCCACGCCCGCGCCACCTCCGCCTCGTCCTCCTCCTCCTCCGCCAGTAGCGGCCACTCCGCCGCCATCGCCGCGAGGGAAAGAGGTGGCAGCGCGAGGGGTAATATGGGGCTGCGGTGTGCGCGAGGGAGTGGAAGGTGTGCGGAGGGTCAATGCGCGGAGGGTCAAGGCGCGGAGGGTCAAGGCGCGGAGGGTCAAGGCGCTGGTGGGACGACCGTCGTAGAAGATTAACGCTCCTAGGGATCTCCGTGGGCTGCGCTGAACAATGTGCGCGACACCACCAATCCGCGCACGATGTTCACTTAGGAACGACGGTGAATGCGGCACCGAGCGAAGGGCGGTAGTATATGTCGTGCCTGAGAAGCGGTGTAATGCGGTGCTGCAGGGTGAGAAATTTATCATTGCTCACTCTGCTAAACCATCTTTTCGTGTGACAATGTGAGAATCAACAGACTCTATGGGGTGGTAGCTTTGCTGGACATTTACTTTCAGCCCTGTGGGCAAACATTACAGAAGGATATGCAATTATACATTCAATACGCTATGCTCTTAACGAGCAAGAATAAGGCACACCAAAAAATGGCAAGGAGCAAGCGGGTTGACAGGCGAGGGAGTGCAAGCGGTGCGATCAGAGGCGGGAGGTGATGGCCTTGCGCAGGCGGTCCTCTTCGGTCTCGACGTGGCAGCGCTTGATGTCCGCCACGCGCGTGCAGCCGGCGAGCGCCATGGCGAGCTCAAACTCGTCCTTGAGGATGCCCAGCAGCCTCTCCACCCCCGCCTGCCCCTCCACCGCCAACGCGAATGGCACCGGCCGCCCCACCTGGTGGGCATGGGCCGGGGGGGAGGGATGGGATGGGATGGGCGGATGGGGGGCAGGCATGAGAGGGCAGGCATGTACAAGACAGCGAGAATGGCACAATAGTAGAATAGCGCCAAGAACAATGAGTGGACAGGCAAGGCATTGAGGACGCAGTGGCATGTGGGGTAGGGAAGGGCAACATACGAAGACACCCGCGGCGCCGAGAGCAAGTGCCTTGAGTGCATCGGTGCCGCGCCGCACCCCACCGTCGAGAAACACCGGCACCCGCCCACGCGCTGCCTTCACCACCTGCCACCGCACTCGGTGGGGGGAAGACAGGGGGAAGGAAGATGGTGGCGAGGGGAAGATGGTGGCGAGGGGGGTGTGGTGAGGGAGCGGGATAAGGTGAGGGAGGGGGATAAGGTGAGGGAGGGAATATGGTGAGGGAGGGGATACTGTGAGGGAGAGGGGGGTGTGATGAGGAAGGGGGATATGGTGAGGGAGGGTGAGATGCAGTGTGTGTAGCATCAGGCATGGAATTGACAACTGGGAGAACAAGAGGGGGGCGAAATAAATGCAGGCAGTATGACATGTAAGTTGCCACGCGCAGAGCAGACAGGCAGGGGCATTGGATAAAAGCAATGGATGGGGGTGGGTGGAGAGCGCATGGGTGGCAGGGCAGGGCAGGGGGGCGCACCTCCTCGAGCGCACAAATGGTGGCGGAGACGTAGTCGAGCTGGCGCGCACCGTGGTTGGACACTATGATGCCCGCCGCCCCGTACTCTATCGATATCTCCGCTGCCGGGCACCACGCCGGGGCAGGGGGGTGATGATCAAGGGCGGGTGGACGAGGGGTTGGGATGAGCAGGCGCAGGAAGCAACATGGGGTTATGTGACTAGCTGTGAGCGGTATCAGCTACCCTCTGCTATAATCACGGCGTTGACTCACCACCACCCTCTGCTATAATCACGGCGTTGACTCACCACCACCCTCTGCTATCATCACGGCGTTGACTTGACTCACCATCCTCTGCTGTGATGACGCCCTTGACGAGAATGGGCAGCGATGTGATGGACTTGAGCCATGCAATGTCCTGTGGGGGTGGCACACATGTGCATCACACACGCACATGCACATGTACGTACAGGCATGCGCATGCACACATGCGCATTCACACACGCGCGCAATGTGCACGGGCACACACATGCACCACACAATCATTGGAAACAAGTGGCGGGAAGAAGGGGTGAAACAGGGGGGGAATGGGGGGGTGGGAGGGAAGAAATGAAGGATCGTTGAGGTTGGAGTCTGGCAGAGAAGAGGAGAATGGAGCATACAGAAGCAACTGACAGAAGGTCGTACAGCAGGCCATACACCCACATCCAGCCAGCACACACCACACACACGCCACGCACCCCACACACAGCACGCACACGGCACGGTGAGAGCAGGCGCGCTCACCTTCCAGCTGAGCGAGCGGTCGATCTGACCCGCCACGTATGATGACAGCCCCGACTCCTGTGACTGGTGTGCGCCCGCCGTGACACGTGGTGGTAGGCAGAGACGGAGAGGAAGAGGAAAAACGAGGAGTGAGTCAAGGGCAACGAGCAGTGCTGTCCTGGTCAACGATGCGCCGAGGCTCATTTTATCACAACGCAACTCATTGCATGCTGCCTTGCCTTATCCATGCTGCCATACCTTATCCAAGCCGCCATACCTTATGCATGCTGCCATACCTTATCATGCCGCCATACCTTATGCATGCTGCCATACCTTATCATGCCACCATACCTTATCATGCCGCCATACCTAATCATGCCGCCATACCTTATCCATGCCGCCATACCTTATCCATGCCACCATACCTTATCATGCCGCCATACCTTATCATGCCGCCATACCTTATCATGCCGCCATACCTTATCCATGCCGCCATACCTTATCCATGCCACCATACCTTATCATGCCGCCATACCTTATCATGCCGCCATACCTTATCATGCCGCCATACCTTATCCATGCCGCCATACCTTATCCATGCCACCATACCTTATCATGCCGCCATACCTTATCATGCCGCCATACCTTATCATGCCGCCATACCTTATCCATGCTCCCAAGGTTCAGTCCTTCGAAGTTCTTCAGCGTGAGGTGGGGCGGCAGCACGAACCTGCCACGCGCACCACCATGCCATGCCAAGCCATGAGTCAGTTGCAATGGGCCCAATCCATGCTACGAAAACAGCGACCAACAGCAGCCACAATCCCTACAATACGCCCTCACTCTTGCTGGTTTTTCCAATTCAAGTTCCTCCTTGCATCGTTCACTTTTCAAAGTGCCTCACAGTAATTCGTTATTGCAGTGTACACACTACAACCCTTCACTAGGTGTCCTTTAAATGCAACGACCCACGGTCCCCCACCCATCATATTTCCCCCAACCCACCCCCCTCGCCGCCAACCCATCCCCCTCGCCGCCAACCCACCCCCCTCGCCGCCTGCAGCAGCAAACCGCGCACCTGTTTTTGATGTCGGCCTCGCGGCGGCCGAGGCGCGGCGTGTCGACGGTGAGCGCGATGGCCTTGAACCCCGCCCGCTCCGCGCGCCGAACCAGCTGCTCCACCACCTGCCGGTCCTTGTACACCTGGGGGGGCATGGGGGGGAGAGAACGAGGGGGGTTGGGGGGGTGTGAGGCAGGGGAGGTGGCGCGGCACATACAGCAGGCAGGGGGAGTTTGCGGGTGATGCAGCAGGCGCAAGCTGGAGACGAGGCAGGCGGCAGCGCAATGCGGCGGGCGGCTATTGGCGGAAGGTAGAGCGCGCGGCACTCACGTAGAGCTGGAAGAAGCGCAGACCCGGACCCACCGACGCCACCTCCTCGACGCTGCTCGTCGCCCACGACGACAGCACCTGCTCGCGCAGGGGGAGGAAGCGGGGTGACATGGGCGACGGGAGGGGAATGGGGGAGAGAGGAGGGGAAGCAGGGGCAGGAGGAGCGGGAAACGAGGGGAGGAAGAGAGGCGAGAATGAAAAAGGAGAAGTGGAGGCTGGGAGCAGTAGTGGCGGTGAGATAAAGACTAGAAATTGCGCATTTCTGGCAGCGACCCGTTCTACACATCACCCCACTGCACGGCACGTGAATTCCACCAGCTAAGCGGACCAGCAAATTTTCACGTCACTGCTACTCGAAGCACCTGTCGCGCCTCCAAAATTTCCGGCGCTACCTTCAAGATACCGTTGTGTCTGCCTACTATAGCTCCGGCTTACCATGGCGGTATCGAATTTAGCTGCCGCGCGGGCCGTGGCGAGCTCGCCTGCAGGAAGAGGGCAGCGGAGGGCAGGGCAGAGGATAGGGCACGGCAGATGACAGGTGAACAGCTGTACACTGACGGCTGTGCCGTTCGTCTCGTGTTGTTACGCTACGTGAGCAAACGATTTAAAAAACAATCCGCATCACATTGCGCGGGTGGAGCGACGGGCGGCGCGCACCTTCGGGGTGCGCCATGCGCTGGAAGGCGGTGGGCGCGAGCATGATGGGCATGGAGATGCGGTGGCCCAGCACGCTCGTCGTCGTGTCCACGCTCGACACGTCGATCAGAATCCGCGGCCGGAACCTGCCGTCGGGGGATGTTCAGGGATGCCCGGCCGCACAGCCGTCGGTGAGAACGTTAGCATCTTCAACACCGCCAGCCGTCGGAATCAGCTCATCAGCTGCTCGATTCGGCATACTTAGAACGTAAGGGGAATTCGACGGGAACAACTAGCCAGGCCTAACAGGGAGGCGCGACGTGCGGCTGAGGGGCGGCACCTGATGCGCTCGAAGGCGTTGCGGTTCTCGGCGAGCGTCCACTGGTCCTCGGCGCCCGACGCGTAGTAGTCGTACGCCTGCTTGGGCAGCTTCTCCTTCGCCAAGCACTGGAACTCCGAGATGTTCGTCACCGTGCTCGACGGATTGCTCGCCGCCGCCGCCATTGCCGCTCTTTTCGCTCGTCTGCAGCGCTGAGGGGGAGCTTAGCTGAAAACAGCCTTAGAGCTTCCTGTCAGACGCGGCAGCGAAGCGACCGAGCGAGAGCTGCAAGAGTTGCCAAGGTCGTTTGGGACAGTGGCAGCGGGCTCGCAGCAACAGCACCGAGTGGTCCGGTCAGAGCAGGCCGCACGAAGAGCCTTGGAAATGGGTGGTGTGGCGGAATTGCAACAACTGAGATGCGCGCAGAGTGGGTTGTGGGCGCCATGGGGAAGAGTGGTGGAAGCGCGGAGGGGAGAGTGGCGGATAAGATGAGTTCTGGCTGACGCTCTCCCACGTGGCGCCGGTTCGCCTGGACCACTTTCAAGGCCACATGGGTCTCTCGTGGCGGGGAGACTTGCGTTGCGGTGCTGCGGTATGGCGCGGATGCATGCACCTCGGCTCGGCGAACTGCATCATCTCAAGGCGGATGAGAGGCTGTCATCGCCTCTTCAACTCGCACATGTAACATCAATTGTCAATATAAGTGTTCCCAGCGTACCGTACATCTTGCTATCAATCTCACATCTAACATATACCACATGCTATCTCTCGTATTTCCTAGCAGCCCGTTCACTAATGGAGGTGTGGTAGGACGAGCTGAGCATGCGGCGAAAACTCGAATACACGTCATCATACTGCGACGGAGCATCGGCGTCCACGGCACCCAGTCCCAGCCTCGCCCCACCCATGCCAGGCTTCTGCACCACACTGCCGTCCGGCAACATGCCCGTCTCCGGGTCCACCTCCATGCCCACTCCTAGCCCAGGGCCGCCACTCATGCCCAGCCCAAGCTCCCCCCCGCCCATGCCCAGCCCAAGCCCGCCGCCCTCCATGCCCATCGCTGGTGGCGGTGACACGGCGAGTGGCTTCGCCCCCGGGCCCCTTTTCCCCCCACCGCCCACCCCATGCCCTCCATGCCCGTGCCCTCTCTTCCCAATGCCCGCCCCAAGAATCCCCCGGCCCCCATCCGCCTCCTCCGCGTCCTCCTCCTCGTCCTCGTCCCCCTCAGCCAGGGGGTCCTTCTCCCCAATGGCCTTGAAGAAGCGCGCGATGCGGCGCCGCAGGTACTCTTCGGACTCGTGGGGCGGGGGGATGGAGGAGGGGATGTCGTGCGGCGCCATGGGTGCGTACGGCACGCCCGACCCCACCTGCTTCTTGCGCACCATGCCCGGGATCAGCCCCGGCGGGAACAGCGGGTATGGGGGCTTCTCAGCGGGTGGAGGAGCGGGGGCAGCAGGGGCCGCGTCTGAGGCAGGGGGCTGTGGCTCGGGGGGGGCGCTGGGGGGTGGTGCGGGCGAGGGCTGGTGTGGGGGTTGAGTGGCGGGGGCAGGGGGGGGTGGGAAGGAAGGGGGGGTGGCGGGCACGGGTGCAGAGGCAGGGGCTGCTGCATCGTGCGGCATGGGCGGCATGTGCGGTGGGAGAGGGGGCCATGTGGGTGGGGGAGGGGCGTGGGGCTGCATGGGTGCGCTATGAGGATATGGCTGTGCGGCAGATGGGTATGCCACTGCAATGGGGGTTGAGAGGGGGGACGGGGAGCACAGGAAAGGGGAAACAATGTCAGCAACACAAAAGATAGAAGGGAAATAGGTGGGTGGGTGCAAGCCAAAGAGAGCTTGAATCACACACGCCAAAGCACTCACTCCCACTCCCACTCTCAGCACCAACGCTCCAATCCACTCGCCTGCAGCGTGGTAGTCCATAGCAGGCACAGGCGGCGGCGGCGGCATGGGGGGGTGCTGGTGGGGCGGCAGGCGCATGAGCGCGCCCAGGTGCGCCATGGTCTCCCCCGGGTACACCTCCTTGCTCGCCCAGAACGCCAGGATCTTCCCCAGCCGCTCCTGGTTGCTGCTCTGCGCGTCGCCCCCCCTGTGGAAGAGTGCTGCCAGCATGAAGCCCAAACACGGCTGCAGTGCTGCTGCCACCGCGTCCACCGCCCCCGGGTGTGGCCTCTGCTGTAGACTGCACGATCAAGGGAGGGGGGGCGGGGGGGGTTGAGAAGGGAGGAGGGGAGGTTGGAGAGAGTGAGGTGGGGAGAGTGAGGTGGGAGGAGTGAGGTGGGGAGGGTGAGGTGGGGAGAGTGAGGTGGGGAGAGTGAGGTGGGGAGAGTGAGGTGGGGAGCAGGAGGCGTGGCAGTGGAGGCAGCGAGGCGGGGGCCACACCTGTTGAAGAGCACGTCGTTGACGAGGTAGATCACATGCAGCTGCCTCTCCGGCTGCCCTGCCAGCGCCGCCATGCGCTCCCGCAGCACCCACGCGATGTGTGGCGCCCACCCCATGCCGGCGCGCCACGCCACCCACGCCTTGCCGCCCTTGATGGCCTCTTTGGTGCCGCTCAGCGCCGCCAGCAGCGCCACCGCCTCGCCGCCCACGTCCGCCGGCAGCCCCGCCGCCGCCACCGCCGCCGCTAGCGCCACGTCCGCCGGGTCCGTTGGGGGGGGCGCCGTGGGGGGCTGCGGGGGCTCCGGGGGAAGCGGAGGGGTGGAATTGGCGGGGAGAGGGACCGCGGGAGGGGCTTCAGAGCCGGTCTGCGCCTGCTGCGCGCCCGGCGCGCCCTCTGCTGCTTGTTTCTCCCCCTCCTGCTCCCCCTCTATTTTCACTTCCGCGCTGCCCTGCTCCCCGTCGGCCTCCCCCTGCTTCCCCGCGGCGTGCTCCGCCTGCCCTTCAGCTGCCCCCTTCACCTCGGTCCAAGCTGCCGCCTCCGCCCCCCCCGCACCCCCCGCGCCAGAGAGCGCACACCAGAGGCGGAAACGATAGTAGTCCGCGCCCTCCCCGCCCGCCTCGAGGAAGGCGTACGCGGGTTGGCCGCGCTGCTTGTCGCGCATGAGCGCCTCGAACTGCGGCCCGTTCTTCGCGGCGTACTCGACGGCCTTCTCCACGCGCCCGCGCAGCTCCTCGCTCGCCGGAGGGGGCACGGCGGCTGGCGGAGGCTCGCGCGGATCGAAGAAGGCGGCGAGTGGGGAAGTTGCGGGGAAGGCGGAGCTTGGAGCGGGCGGATAGGCGGGCTGGGGGGGTGGTTGGTAGGGATTCGGTGGGTTGTAGGCGGAAGGAGGGTAAGCTTGGGGAGGATAAGCGTACGGGTGGTGAGGGGGTTGGTGGTGGGGGTAATGCGAGGGCGCGTGATGCTGTGCGTGACTCGCGTCGTACCCGTAATAGTGCGCTTGCTGCTGCTGTTGCTGGTACTGGTGGTGGTACTGTTGGTGATCGTACGTGTGTGCGTCATGGCCATAGTGCTGCTGCTGCTGCTGATGCTGCTGTTGATAGTACGCGTCGTGTTGCTGTGCTGCCTGATCCTCCGCCTTTGCCTCGTGCTGCTCGGGGTTATCCATGGCTGTGCCAGTGATGTGATCACGAGTCGCCTACGTACTTTCTAATATAGTAAAAGGTTAAAAATAATTTCTCCAGCGTCGTGGCATGTCAGAGTGGCCGAGTGGTCTAAGGCGCCGCACTCAAGTTGCGGTCTCGAAAGAGGCATGGGTTCAAACCCCATCTCTGACAAGTTTTGTTGACCCCCTGCTAGGGATGAGCAGAGGCCGAACTCGAACAGGTTCGAGTTCGTCCTCTGTCGAACAGCTCGAACAGCCGAACCGAACACTGTTCGGTTCGGCGAACGATTTCCGCCGAGACAAGTGTTCGCCGTTCGCCTATGAAGGCGTGTTCGGGCGAACCTCGAACACGTTCGTGTTCGTTGCGGGGCAAATTGCAGCAGCGGCCCGAACACGAACGTGTTCGGGCGAACCTCGAACACTGTTCGGCGAACCATTTAAGCCAAAAAAATAAACCTGTTCGGTTCGCCTCGAACACGTTCGAGGCGAACCGAACAGGTGTTCGTCCCCTTGCTCATCCCTACCCCCTGCCATGGCTTTTGGTGGACCTGACTCCTGAGCCCACCTTGCCATGGCTTTTGGTGGACCTGACTCCTGAGCCCACCTTGCCATGGCTTTTGGTGGTCCTGACTCCTGAGCAAGGTTCTCGTTATCAGACCAATTTGGTCTGATGGTCTGCGTTTAAGACTTGTTTTTATGTATTCATCTTAATCCTAAGATTTTGTGTTTGTTCTCATATGATCAGCAAGATTTGACTTATAGGTTCGTATGATTTTTCCAGACGTGTAGAATTTTTTATCTGAGTACACAGATATCGAGTTCGGTTTCGTCTGAAACCGACAGTTTGACCCACTAGGCCATATGCCCAGTGGACCAGAGGATAGGACCACTACAGGGTACAGCAATTGCTGCTTTGTAACTGCACGCGCATTCATTACGCGTGTCTTATACAGCCTTGTAACTGCCTTGTAGCAGCATCGCTGGCATGTAACTGCGGCATATGCTGCCAGGCGTTTGTCGTTTGGCGGGCTGTCGGCGCCGACGCCAGCCACAGCCACGGCAACACGCCTTTCGGTTCCGAGTGCAGTGGACGGTGATGGGGTTTCATGCAGCTGGGTCTGGCTTGAAAACAAGCCTGTTTCTCCTGCTCGTCCTCACCTCTCACCCAGCCGAGCATGGATCCTATCCCTCCCAGCGTCTGATTTCCCAGCGTGACGCTTCCCAGCGTTTAGACTATGGCCGTCCCCGCCGGCGGACCGTGCGATGGGGAGCCCGTGCTTTCCGCCCTAGACTTCCTAACGCGGGGCAAGCAGATCGCTTCTGCTGCCCCTCCGATTGCGTCGACCTCTGGTGCGGTACCTTTGCCCAACTCGGAAAATGGCGATCAACACGTGCCAGCAACCACTACCCCAACTACGCTATTATCCACTCCGATGCCTGACTACGGTGCTAATAAGAGCATCCCTCCAGTTTCGGTCGCTACCACCTCTCGCAGTGCTAACCCCGTCTTGCCTGACAGATCACTGAAGAAGCGGTATAGGCAGCGAGTTCTCACCGTCGGCCGACCGGGCGGTCCGACTCAGCCAGCACCGTCAGTTCTTCTGCGACCCGCGGAACCAGAACCCGAACCCGCGAATGAAGAGTTCGAAGACCCGAAGGGCAAGCAACTGTCGGTTGAGGAGCTTCAGTTGAAGTGCAAGCAGCAGTGGCAGCGGTATTTTCCTTGGCTCCTCATCTCCGAAAACAAGGCCGGCCGCCCCTGCATGCGCAAGCATCACCACAGTCTGAAACACGAGGCCGCGGTCTCGAGGAAGGAGGAGCGCGACGGCGTGAAGAAAGTGCAGAAGTCCATTGCTGACTTCCACCGTGGGGACGCTGATGTCAAGCGTATTGCTCGCTTGATGGCTATTGTGCTGTTCATTTGCAAGTCTGACGCTCCCATTGTGCTATTCGTGGCTTTGGTTCAGTTCATGGCAGAGCAGGGGACTCCGGATCTGCCCCTGAAGGAGAACGGGACGTACTACAGCGAGTAAGTGTCCCGTTTTAATTCATTGCTTTATGGTCCGTGAGTTTACAACACTAACGAGTTTTCAGCCCGCGTGTCTCAGGTACGGCTTTGCACAACTGGTCGAGACCATGGTGTGCTACCTGAAGTCCCGCCAGATGAAGCACATCCGCGACAGTCCGTACCTTGGCATCCAGTTGGACGAAAGCACCGACCGACGGCGGGGGAAACACATGATCGTCTATTTGACGTTCATGCGTGACAACGCTCCCGTGACTGAGTTCTTCGCGTTGCTCAGTGTGGAGCAGTGTGACGCCGCGTCACTCACTACAGTACTCCTGACGCATCTGGAGAGCACCGGCATCGACCTCATGCGCCTCACCGGGATGAGCACTGATTGTGCTTCTGTCATGCTTGGACAGCACAACGGAGTCACCGCGCGCCTGAAAGGCAAGGTTCCTCATCTTGTGTCGTCCCACTGCATTGCGCACAGGTAAGAGTTGTTGTTTCGCGTTTACTGCCTATTATTTTTCAATATACCCGTGCTAATGTTACTTTCTGCTGTCTTGCAGGGAGGCCTTGGCGGCCAAGGATGCTGCCGCCAAGCACCCTGACTTCAACATCGTGGACAAAGTGGTCCGAGCCGTGGCTGAGAACCTTGGTCCTTCCAGTGTTAACCACGCCAGATTTCAAGAGCTTCAGGAGGTCATCTGCGAGACCCATCTTGAAGTCCAAGGCATCAAGGACGTCCGATGGCTGTCTCGTGGTGACGCCATCCAGCGCCTGGTGAAGGTGTTTCTTGCAGCAGTCATGGTATTGCACGAGACTAACAAGAAGATGTATCGAGTCGTAACGAGCTACAAGTTCCATTTTCTGCTGTTCTTCCTTTCTGACGTCTTGAAGGAGCTCAACCTTCTCAGCTTGAAGTTTCAGCGGCGTCAGGTAAGCAGTTTCGTGGCCGTTTACTTCATTTACAACCATTTGCTAAACGTCCCGCTTGTGCAACCCCGTTTACAGGTCGAGGCAACTCATGTGCTGCCGATGGTGCACAACACAACCTTACTGCTGCGCACACGCTACCTCGACTGCGACGACGCGATGTTTGGCCAGGGTGGAGACGCGTTGGGCCCGTTCCTCGACAAGCACGCATCAGGGGAGTTCCGCGAGGTCCTCGTTGCTGGCACTGCTTCCGACGGCACATCGGTCAGCCATCGATACCGACTGCACGAGGAGAAAATCAAGGGGCAGACGAGTGGTGTGGACCACCAAGCGTGTTTGGGGCTGGCGCGCGAGTTCATCACGACCCTGGTCGGTCGGCTCGACTACCGCCTCAAGGATCTGTCACACCTCGACGGGGCGAAGCTGTTCAAGCAGGGATCCTATCCCAAGAACCAGGCAAAGCGTGAGCGACGGCTAGGCCAATGGCTCCAGTCTCTGCGCAACATGTTCAAGCGGAAGCCAGAAGACCCTGATACTATACCAGGTGCGTTAAATGCCGGGAATGTGCTGTATGTTTAGCGTTGTTTCCACGTGCAAATTTAAACCCATTCACATCACCAATACCAATGTTCCCATGTGCACCCCAACCGCAGGCATCAACTGGGCGAGAGCGCAGCGGGAGCTCGTCACCTTCTCTATAATCCTGGCCACGCACTAAGAGGATGTCGGGTTTGCGGACAGCCTGAAGCTCATGCTATCCTCCCCCGACTGGGCGACATGCTACCCGAACCTCGTCCACCTGTGGATGGCTGTCGCCGTGCTGCCGCTCAGTACCGTCGAGTGCGAGCGCGGCTTTTCACGGCAGAACATCATCAAAAGCTGGCTTCGCGGGAACCTGTGCGACGCGAAGCTGGGAGAGCTGATGGCTGTGTCGCTCCTAAACTATGACATGGAGTGGCCCGAGTTGCTGAGGAGGTGGAATGCTTCCAAGAAGCGAAGGCCTGCTAATGATGTGCTGATGGCGTCCAGGGAGAGACAGAGCAAGCGTGCGAAGAAGAGATCGGCCGCAGCTGCAGCAGCAGCAGCTGCACTGGCAGCAGCAGAAGCAGCTGCTCGAGAAGCGGCCCTGGCAGCAGAAGCAGCAAGGATGGATGCTGAGTATCCGTGGCTTAGCAGGAAAGAACGGGCCACGGTTCCAGAGTCTGTGGGTAGTGAGGATGGTAGTGATAGCAATGAAGAGTGCGGCTCTAGTGACTCTGACTAGGTCCCTAGCTACTGCGTAGGTTGTTTGATAGTATGAGTAGAATTGCAGGTAGGATTACAGTAGGCTGACTTTTAACTTGGTTTTTAAATTCGTCTAGTTTATCAGACTTGAAAAATAATTCAGCTTATAAGGCAGACCACGTCAGTTTCGTCGTCAGTGCCTAAGACGGGGAAAATTTTTTTGAGGGTACTGTCAGACAGGCCCTAAACCTAGCGAGAACCCTGCTCCTGAGCCCACCTTGCCATGGCTTTTGGTGGTCCTGACTCCTGAGCCCACCTTGCCATGGCTTTTGGTGGTCCTGACTCCTGAGCCCACCTGGTGATGCCATGCTGCTGCAGAGTGGGAGGTTTAGTGCCCTGGCCAGGTCCGGCAGCAGGCTGCAGGACCACAGAAATGGGAATTGTTCCTTCAGCAAGCGCCACTCATACCTATCTTGCTTTGTGTTGTGGAAGTGACGTTTGAACCAGAAATTTTAGTTTATTATGATACATGCATGGAGGGCTTTACTGTTGCATTGCATTGTACGTAGGAGCAATACAAGCAAGTACCAGTGGGGAACTAGTGCTGGTGTGCAACACAGTGCTGGAGAAACTGCTTGCTGCGTGTTAATTTATAAGTGCTTGCATGAGGTGCTCCCAGCAGGTGCTTCCGTACTCGGCCCCCGTGGTTGCTGCCGCTGCTTGCAACAGGTGCTTGCGTCAGGGTGTCGCCAGGTTAGTGAGGGGGAGGGGGCCTCCATCCAGGTCAGTGAGAGGGGAAGAGAAGAGCTCAATGGATGTCAGTGAGGGGGGCGGAGGCCATCAGCTGATGCGCTTGGGTCAGTGGGGGGCATGGGTTGCCCGGAAGAGGAGGAGGCGGCAGCAGCAGCAGAAAGGGGGGGGCGGTGGCGCCACAGGGGAGTGGAGGAGGACAGGGGCAGAGGGGGCACGCCACCTGGCAGGGCGGCAGCTGGGGGGGCGGTGGAAGGGGCAGCAGGAGGGGTGGCGTGGTGATCTCTGACTGCTGAAACGTGCGCTGCCTCCCCCTCACTCCCTGCCCGCACACTCAAGTCCGATGGGTCAAGCGCACGTGCAGCGTCAGCAGGGTGTGAGTGTGAGGTGGTGGGGGCAGCAGCGGGAGTGGGAGGCACGGCGGCAAGGCGAGCCCACACGGCCGCATGCTCCCACGACTGCAGGAACCACGGCGGGGGCGCTGGGGGCGACTGCGGTGCATGGGGTGACCCAGCACCAGGAGGCACGTGGCACGTGGGGGCGAGGGGGTTGGGGCCCGAATGAGGGTGGAAAGAGGCAGCATCATGGGATGGGAGAGGGGGAGAGGCAGCGTGGGTGGCCTGGGCGTGAGTGAGGGGAGGAGGAGGCTGCATGGCAGCATGAGAGGACGACGGCAGCACCGCCATCTGCACCGCTGCAGCCCCTCTGCTCCCCTTGCCATCCTCCCACGCTCCATCCCTCCCACCACCACCACTCGCCCCACCGTACAAAGCTACTTCGCCCTCCCCTTCCTGCCCCTCCGATCCGTATCCCTTCACCCCTCGCCTGTGCGCCTCCTTGTCACCGCCACCATCTCTCTCTTCCTCCTCCCACCCTCCCCCTCCCACCTCCCTTTCCGCCTCTCTCGTTTTCCATTCCTTCCCGCCGCCCCATTCCTCGTTACCCCCCCACTCCTCCTCGCTGCCCCCTTTGCCCGCACGAGCAGCAAACGGCTTGCACGAATCACCCTCGCCCGCCTGCTGCTCCCTCTCCTCCTCCTCCTCCTCCTGCAGAGGGTCGGGCGCCAAGCGGCACTTCTGGGAGAGCAAGGCGCGCGGCAGAGGGGCAGTCACGCAGCACGGCGAGGAGGGGAGAGGGGCGGAGAGACGAGGTCAGAGGTGGTTGCAGCAAGCATTGTGCGTGCAGGCCGTGTCCATTCCATTCCCCCATCCCATGCCCCCTACCCCATGGCTCCCATCCTCCCTCATCCTCCCCCCTATCTCCCGTCCTCCCTTCATCCCGCCCCCTGTCACACCCCTTCTCACCACGGGCCCGTCATCGCCAGCAGCGGAGAGGGAGGAGCGGGAGACGAGGCAGTCGAGCAGCAGCCCCACGGGCCACGCCAGGGGAAACAGCGCCACCAGTGCCACGCCCCCCACCCACGCCGTCGCCCCCGCCACCTGCAGACTCCTGGGGGGAGGGAAGGAAGGGAGAGTAGGGGAAGGCGGTGGGAGGGGAGGGGGGAGAGGGGAGCAGCGGATAAAGGGGAAAGGAGGGGGTCAGGGTTGGGGGAGTTGGAAGTGACGTGTCTGTCAGCTGCTGACTTGGCTCGTAGCATGGGCGCACCGCAGAGGCGAGTGGTGAGTGTGAGAAGTATCGTGTCCTTGACTTTAACGAAGGCGGACACGTGGCGCATACCGATTGGTGCAGATGGCGGGCGGCAGCAGTTCAACGGCGAGGAAGAGCAGCGAGAAGGCGCACAGCCACCCCCTCCACACGCCCAACACCTCTGCTCAAGCCGCCATGCCATGCCATGCCATGCCATGCCATGCCATGCCATGCCATGCCATGCCCACACACACGCCCGTGGGGAAGGAGGAAGGAGGGTAGAGGAGCGAAGAGCTGAGAGTCATGGTGCGATGCATGAGCGATGTGAGGGGATACACCCACGTGCAGCGCGGGCAGCATGATGGGTGAGAGAGGTCATGCAGCCGCAGGAAGGGCCCCTCACAGCAGCCCCAGAGAGGGGGGGCTGGGCTCACAAGGGGTGGAAGTGGGTTCAGCAAGGGCGGGGGGGAAGGTGGGTACCGGTGAAGGCGGCAGCAGCGAGGGAGGAGGCGAGGCAGCTGGCGAGCAGCAGCGCCGCGAGCAGCAGGTTGCCATGGCGCCTCACCCGCAGCACTGCCCTCGCCTGCCACGCATGGCGCACACACGTGAGGTGCACGGGAGGGCAGGGGAGTCGTAGACATGTGGTGAGAGTGAGGGGGGGGGGATTGGGGAGGAGAGGGGCGGTGAGTGTGAGAGGGTCGGACACGGGCACATGCATGCCATGCCTTCCAGGTGTGCGGCAAGCAAGCAAGTGAGAAAGGTGCAGGCTGTGCGACCCATGGGGGGCAATGAGGGTGTGGAGAGACGGCAGAAGGAAGCGTAAGGCGCAGCAAGGGATGGGCGTGGGGCGCACCTTTCTGCGCTCAGCCTTGTCCGCACTCGCTGCCAACACCTGCACGTGGGGGCGCGGAGAGGTGGGGGCGCGGAGAGGGGGGCGGAGAGAGGGGCGGAGAGGGGCGGAGAGGGGGGCGGAGAGGGGCGGAGAGAGGGGCGGAGAGGGGCGGAGAGAGGGGCGGAGAGGGGCGGAGAGAGGGGCGGAGAGGGGCGGAGAGAGGGGCGGAGAGAGGGGCGGAGAGGGGCGTAGAGGGGCGGAGAGAGGGGCGGAGAGGGGCGGAGAGGGGCGGAGAGGGGCGGAGAGGGGGGCGGAGAAGATGGGCGCGGGGGAGTTAATGAACGAGCATGTGTTGGCAAGGAGATGATGGGAGCAGGCACGACGAGGCAAGGAGGTGTGCCGGAAGCAGGACAATAAAGGACTGGGGCAGGCTCACCTGCAGCGGGGGCAGGTCTCACCTGCAGCGAGGGCAGGTCTCACCTGCAGCGAGGGCAGGTCTCACCTGCAGCGAGGGCAGGTCTCACCTGCAGCGGGGGCAGGTCTCACCTGCAGCGAGGGCAGGTCTCACCTGCAGCGAGGGCAGGTCTCACCTGCAGCGAGGGCAGGTCTCACCTGCAGCGAGGGCAGGTCGAGCGCGAGCGTGCTGGCCATGACACACGCCACCAGCGCCGCCACCCCCACGCCCGCCCCGCCTGCCGTACCGCCACACCGAGGGACAGGGGGTTGGGGAGGGAGAGAAGGGTGTGGGGAGAGGAAGAGAAGGAGGTGGGGAAGGGCCGAGCGCACTTGCAGAGTCGCGAGGCACTTGGAGAGGCACGCCGGTCGGGCAGACGTCGGATGTTCGCGATCCGCGCGCGCTGACACTGCGAGCGACGCACCTGCGACGGAGAATGCGATGGTTTGCGACAGCGAGGGCGGTGCGAGCCAGCCGTTGTAAACGTAGCAGGTGTCGAGGCACGGCTGTAGCGACGCGCACGCCGCCACGCACGCGCTCATGTTGAACTCCGCCATGCCGCCGCCCGGCCGCCGCCGCCACAACGACGAGCCACGCGACGCGACGAGGGAGACTACGCGATAACGGAGAGAGAGCGACGAGGGGGATAGTGCGACGAGGTACTTGGTGCACAGGGCGGGCAGCGACGGTCAGTCGTGATGCGCAGCGGGCTGGCTTGAACGGGCGGCTTGAGAACTAATGGAGAAGGCTGGACGCCCTCCCCGCAGCGGCATGGTGAAGGCTCACGCGCTCACGGTCGCACTCACGGCGTGGCACTCGAGGCTCGAACAACGAGTTACGACCGATATTTTAAGTAGGTCTTTTATCGCGATGCGGTGTTGTGTTGCTGTGCAGGTGGGGCTCGACGGCGCTGTGCCGTATTTCATCGTGCACTCGTCTTCCGTTTCCTTGCTCTTGGCCTTGGTACGTACTCCGACGCGGTGAGTCGGTGACTCCTGATTGGCGGACGGATGTGGTGGGTTCTTCACGCTACCGCACTGCAACCCTTGCAACGTCAAGTATAACTTACACTAAGAAAATCCAAACAAACACATCAAAAGCAATATATGGGACACCTACACTAGATCCTATAATGTACATTCAGCTAATGCAGAACGATATATCTAAGAGCTCAATCCAGTCTAGCTAGACGCAAACCGAAGTATGACACAACCACAAAGTACCAATAAGAACCCACAGGCAGTGAGATAACATGGCCATACAAAGCGATGTGCATTCACAAGTCTCGCTTCACAAATCGTCCCTGCATGGAAGGGGGGAGGGGGGAGAAAGGACATTAGTTGGACCAGGGTGACCTTCCAAATCTATAATACAAGAGCTATGAACGCCAACCACAATAGCCTTCAAACACCATCCCCTCCCCCAGGAGCACACCTTGACGCGGGGCCGGCGGTCGGCATTGACTTTGCGCACTTGGTAGCGGATGGTCTTGGAGAAGAGCCGGTTGCGCCGCTTCTCACGATACCGCAGCACCCGCGCCTCCCGCCCCTCCACATACCCCTCCACCTGCCCCTCCACCTGCCCATCCACGTGCCCGTCTGTGTGTGTGTCCTCCAGCAGCAGGTCGCTGCACACGCGGTCCAGCCCGTGCGGCACCGACGCCACGCGACTCACCCCCGACTCGCCCACCTCGCCCTCCGCACCCTCCTCCCGCCCCGTGCTGATCACCGAGTGGGGGGTCATGGCCGCCTGCAGTGGCTGGGGGAGGGACGCAAGGGGGGGATTGGAAGCGTGGAAAGGATGTGGGGCGATACACGTGAGTGCACAATAAGGCTGGCAAACAAAGTTCATCCCATTTCGACAACATATGGCTTGCTGCAGCTAACAGCAGGTGAGAAGCAGCACATGGGAAGCAGGTGCAGCAGGGTGGCAGGAGAGGGCATGCACCTGGGGGTCAGAGCACACGGAGGGCTGGGCGTGGAGGGCCAGCGACGGCGGTTGGTCGTCCAGCCACGGCGATGCGTGGGGGCCGTGGTGTGACCAGGCGGTGATGATGTCAGCGTAGTTGAGGTGCAGCGTCGGACACCACCGCCCCCCCGCACCCCGCTCCCCCAGACTGCCCAGCACTCCCCGCATCGCTGCTGCACGCCTGTCCGCCCCATCCCTGTCGCCTCGTGTGCCCTCCCCCTGGGCAGTGTGAGAGGAGGGGCAGAGTGGGTGTGCTGCGAGCAGGGTGAGGTGAGAGGCCACGCCCTTGAGCTGAGCCTCCACCGCGCCCTCCTCCATCACCACCTCCTCCGCCTCCTCCACCCCCCCTTCCGCCTCCCCTGATGACCGCCCCCCTGCTTCCCCCCGCACGCGCCCACCTTCCCGTTCCACTCCCGCGCCCTCCTGCCCCCCCCGCCCTCCCACTGCTCTGCACCTCTCTTCGCTGGGCTCCCACCCTGCGCTGCGCACTGCTGCAGGGGTTGTGCGTGGCCGTCGTGGTGCTGCTGGCCGTCGGAGAGGGAGAGCGAGTGAGAGTGGGAGCGCGAGTGGGAGGCGGAGGCGGAGGCAGTGGGGGGGGCGCGCGGGTCCATGACGGACTCTGACAGCGCCGCTGCTGATGCCACGGCACTCGCAGCAGCGGCAGCGCACGAGCTCAGAAAGCTGTTGGCCGGCGCGTGCGGGGCGGGGCGCGTGTGGCTGACAGACATGCTCGCAGCAGTGGTGGGGGATGCAGGGGTGCAGCGGTCAAGCGACGCACAGGGGGACAGGGCCTGGGGATGCATGGGAGGGTGCATGCGCTGCTGTGCGTGCCCACGCGTGCATGCCACTCCCACCCCCTGCACGCCCTGCGCTGCTGCCCCTTGGGCCATCACCCCCGATGCATCCACCTCACGCTTCACCCCACCCCCTCGTCTCGCCTCCACGCCCGACCCTCCTTCCGCGATACTCGCCAGTCCTCCCCCCTCTGCTGCACTTACACCCACACCTGCACCCAGACCTGGTGCCGAACCAAAGCCAAGTCCCCGCAGGTGCTGCCTCTTCGCAGGGCGCGCGGGCAGCCCGGGGCCGTCGGAGGGCAGAGCGTGGGTGCGCGACGCATGGCACCCCGCTGTGGGCTGTACCACTGCTGGCGGCATTGACGCGCGGGGGGGTTCGCCGCATGGGGAAGCAGCAGCAGCAGCGGCAGCAGCGGGAGATGCGGCAGGCGGGGGAGTGAAGTAGCTGGCATCGGTGGGATGGGCCTGCTGCGCCGCCGCAGCAGGGTGCGCCGTGGTGAGGCGAGGGGACGACGGGGGACAAGTGGCGGAAGGCGTGGCGGAGGGCGGGGGGGGCGCGCGCGGGGTCATGCAGAGCGCGAGGTCGCGCGCGAACTGGTCGTCCTCGTCAATGTCTTCTAGCCCCGCCATGCCCTCCGCGCCCCCCATACCGCTCATCATGTCCTCAAACTCCTCAAACCCGCTGCTGCTGCCCAGTCGCCCCGCCTCCCCCGCCTCCTCTTCCCCGCACACCTGCGCCACCCGCTCGTCCATCCATCCCGCCGTTATCTCCGCGCCTCCCTCCCTCTCCTCCCTCTCCTCCCTCTCCCCGCCCCCCTGCACCTCCTCCCCTCTCCTCGCCTCTCTCCCTGCCCGCACGCCCCCCCTCGCGGTGTCTCGCCCGTCGCGTGCTTCCACGCCCCGCGCGCCCGCCGCTGCACCGGCGCACACAGCTGCAGCGGATGCAGGTGCTGCAGGAGCAGTGCGGGGCGACTGGAGAGGTCGAGGCGCGTGTGTCGCCGCGTGCGCCTTCACGGCCGGCACGCCGGGCAGCGAGAGCAGGCAGCCCGCGTAGGGGCTGGGGGGACTGAAGGGGCTCGCGGGTGCGCGCAGCAGATGCGACTTGGCGCACAACCCCGCGGGCGCGGAGAGGGGGGAATGCGTCGCGCCGGCTGCCATCTTACCCCATGGCGAGGCACCCTGCAGGGACTCGTTAAGGTGACGTGGATTGGCGGCAAACGACCACGTGGACGCTGGCGATAGGCCCACCGAGCCAGCTGTTAGCTTGGGGGCTGCGTCGTGCGCAGGCGCAGGTGACGCGGCCGGTCTGCTCTGCGGCGTGGACTGCTGCTGCGCCTGCGGGTGCGGCTGGTGGTCCTGCGGCGCGTGCATGGCGGCCGTGCCCTCCCGCACCTTCCACCGCAACACGCTGCACGCCGCTCCGCCTGCGCTCGCCCCTTGCAACCTGCCCCCCGCGCTCACCCCTGCGACGTCCGTCTCATCCGCCGCTCTCCCCCCTCTCCCTGCTCCCCTCCTCGAATCACCCGCGCGTCCGACACCAACCCCGCTCTGACCTGCGCCTTTGGTGTCGGGCGGGCGCTGCGCGCGGGAGGGGCGGCGGGGGTCGGGGGGGTGCGACGACGAGCTGGTACCGGACATGCTGGACGGCAGCCCGCTCTGCGCGCTCTCCGCGCCGATCGCGCCCGCCGTCGGACCCGCCACGCTCCCCGCCACCCCCTCCTCCGCCTCACTGCACGTAGCTGCCGCGCCCCGCACCCCAGACTCGTCTGCGCGCGGAAGCAGGCTCTGCGCCAACTCTCCGCGCTGCACTCTCCCCGCAACGCCGCGCGGAAGACTGGCGGCGGCATCGGAAGGCAACACCGCGCCTCTGCGATCTATCTTGAGCGGCGCGCCGTTGGGACCCAGTCGCACGCGCTCGTGGCGCTGCGAGAGCGGATTGGCGGAGTGAACGAAGACGTCGCACGGCTCGCAGACGTACGCGTCGTCGGCGGCGCAGTAGAGCACCGCGGGCTGGCACGAACACGCGTCGCACACTCGGTGCGGCCGATGGCCGACGGCGGGAGCGGGCGTGGATGGAAGAAACGGGGAACGCGGCGTGAGGTGCGCGTGCTGTGCCTCCGCTGTAACCTCTGCGCGCAACTGCTGCTGCTGCTGTTGCTGTTGCTGTTGCTGTTGCTGTTGCTGTTGCTGTTGCTGTTGCTGTTGCGATTGCGGCTGTGGCGATTGTAGGAGAGACAAACGGGTGTGACTGGATGCCTGGAGCGACATACGAGGAGACGGTGACGCCCGCGTGCCGTCCATGACTAGACGTTCCGATGCGCTTTGCTGCTGCTGCTGTTGCTGCTGCTGTTGTTGCTGCTGCTGTTGTTGCTGCTGCTGTTGTTGCTGCTGCTGCTGCTGTTGCTGCTGCTGTTGTTGCTGTTGTTGTTGTTGCTGCTGCTGCTGCTGTTGTTGCTGTTGCTGCTGTTGTAGCTGGAGCAGCTGCGAGTGCTGTTGCTGGTGCTGGAACAGCTCCTTCTGCTGCCGTTCATGCAGCTGAGCTAACTGCTGCCATTGTTGATCCTGAAACTGCTTATACTCCACACGCTGCTGCTGTTGCTGCTGCTGCTGCTGCCATCTCCATGAATCCTGCTGCTCTTGCTGCCTCTGTTGCTCTTGCTGCTTCAGCTGCTCTTGCTGTTCCGTCGGCTCTGGTTGTTGGTGCTGCTTCTGCGGCTGCTCTAGCTGCTGGTGTTGCTGGTGTTGCTGTTGTGACTGCTGGGATTGCTGCTGCCGCTGCTGCTGCTGCTGCTGCTGCTGCTGCCATAGTTGCGACCTAAGCTGCTGGAGCTGATACTCCTGTCGTTCGCACTGCAAAGACTGTTGCTGCAATAAGAACTGCTGCTGCTGTCGTTGCTGCCACCACTGCTGCTGATGCTGAATCAGAAGTTGCTGGTGCATGCGAGCCTGCTGCTGCTGCAGCAGCCCTAACTCATTGTTTTGCCACCCTAACTGTCGCACACTATCGACACTCGCTGCCTGCTGCTGCTGCTGCTGCTGCTGCTGACGGCCTTCCGGAATCACGCCATGCTGCTGGCCCACTACAAGACCTCTGATGTCCTCCATTGTATGATAACATCAACTCTCAATTGAGGTACACAGTACCAAAATACGGCAGTGAGCGCTTGGACTGTCAACGACCGTCGCAACATGCGCCAAGAATATAATCCATAGAACGTCAACTTAGTCGTGTCAAATCTAGGTTCTGAGATTATGCATGACCAAACACATACTACCGTCGCCTGCGGTCGACAAAGCAAAATGGCGATCCTTTCCCTCCCAGCCTCCACCAAACCCTAGGGAATCCAGAACTTGAATCAAGTGGCAGCTCCAAGGAGCCCTTGAGAATTCAAACCACTTTTCATCTCATCATCGGCGGGCAGATATATGGCAGGGAGGACGGATGAGATGAAGAGATGCCTCAGGTGTTGTCCTCCTGTGCTGCCCGCGGCGTTCGCTAATAAATGTATAGGTGACCCCGTCAGCACAGCGCGCCAGAGATTTACCAATGAACGATACACACTTAGGTTGGCTGACGTGTAGTAGTAGGACGTGTACCTCACTCGTGCATCTGCAACTTTTTCTCTCTATGGAACAAAAGGTCCTCCAGATATTTGTCGGGTCTTCCTGCTGTTGGTTGGAAGGCATCAGATATTTGTTCTCGACACTCGTCAATGCCGGCGTCCCGGTTGGCTCTCGTTCTTTTTGGGGAACGGGGATACTCGATATGGCAAAACCAGTGTATGGTACTTCGCTGACCCAGGATTGATATTGACATACGTAGTATCTATTTTCGTGGAAAAGGTTGTTTCGCTCATTGTTGCCTTCTGTACCAAATGTGAAACTTATAGCGTGTACTTGCAACGCATGGTGAGTGTTACAGGGGGTTTTACTGTTCATTCCGAACAGTACTTTTTTCCAACCCATCCAACCTTATCTTCCTAGATTTCCATGTGCCACGTGGCACTCTACTTTTCTACCTTCACAATTCCTAGTCCCACAATCTACTTTCCAACCTTGTTTCTTGCATGCTATATAAACCCCTCTTGTACTTGCCATTATCAACCAATTCTCATTCAACTCTTCTTCAATTACTCAGTAACTTCTTCGCTTCTTTCGCCAATAGTTCTTTCTCCAAAGTCTTCCGCCGCGTTTTCATCCTCGACTTAGTCGACCCCGCTATTCTTTAGCGGACTTAGGCCGTCGGGCCTAACACTTGGTATCAAGAGCCTTCGCGGGGAGCGACTTCCAACGAGCGACCGTCGACGACGAGACTACGCCGTCATCGTCCCGCGGTGCCGACTTGCAGACTTGGAGTCGTCGAGCCAACATGGACGAATCCATGAACGCTTTCCCCCACGACATGGGCAACACGCTTGCCGAACTCATGCGCCAACTTCAAGAGTTGACGTTGGAAAATCGTCAGGTACGAGCTGAAATGCAACAGCTTCGTGAATTGGCTTCTAACCCCCATGGCCATGCCGCACCAACTCCTACATCCAACGCATCGACTAGCGCGGAAGCGCTGCCGGAACGTCGAAGCGCGCTCAAGCCGCAGAAGCCCGAGTCGTTCGACCCAAGTCAGCGCGACGCGAACGTGCGGACGTGGCTCTTCATGCTCAACAACTACTTCGCCGCGAGCGGGGTGCAAGAGGCGGACGCGCAGCAGCGGATCGAGTACGCGGTGACGCTGCTGAGGGGCCCGGCCTTGGAGTGGTGGCGCCAACTTACGCAGACTGCTGTTAGAAGGGCTCAGACGGACGGGCATCAACAGGGCGTGGGGCATGCAGCTGCAACTTCGAGCTTAGGGAGTTTAGCTTTGGGTGTTACCACGGTTCCGACGACATGGGAAGGATTTGAAGCGGCGCTGAAAAGTAGGTTCGACTTGGTGAACGCCTCCGAAGCTGCTAGGAAGCGTCTGCGTCATTTCCGACAGATAGGCAACGTCCAGGAGTACACACGACGGTTCTTGAGCATCTGCAACGAAATAGACGACATCACGGAAGCAGAGATGCGCGATCGCTACCTCGAAGGGTTGAAGCCGGACATAGCGGAGGTCATAGCGATTCACGGGTTGTCCACCTTCGAGTCGGTAGTCGCAGCAGCAGAACGCGTCGACGCAGTACGAAGCCGACGGGGTCGTGACGATCGCGATAGGGGATACAACAGACCGATCAACGACGCTCGATCGAGGGACGGACCGTCGCCCATGGAGATTGGTGCAGTTAACAGTGACGGCTCACAGCGTAGCGGATTTAGGGGGAACTGTCACTACTGCAAAAAGCCGGGACACATGAAGCGGGACTGCCCACAGTTCAAGGAGCGGCAGCAGGGAAACGGAAACCGCCAGTAGATAGTATCAGAATAGCTAGGCAAGAATGGTTGAACTAGCAGAAGTTTGGGTACAAATATGAAACCCTAGTTGGGGTTGTACCCCATATTGGCTACCCCACTACAGCCTACAAGCATAATACAGTTTAACACACCCCCATAGGCAAAGTGGGGGAGAACAAAGGGTCACAAGACCAGTCCAGCAAAGCAAAGCAAAGCCCAGGGTGGATCACAACGTCACCACACTCCGAGCACAAGTAAAGGCCACAAGGCCAGTTCACATGCAGTGCTAGATATAGTACAAGACAAGCAACACAGTGATCAAAACCTAGCAAGCAAGCAACAAGATATATATAAAGTACAGTACAAAGAATGTCAAGCAGTGAGCAAGTGAGGAAACGTGGACACAAGGCCTAAAGAAGTACAGTGCCGCTGATGATCACTAGGCGGGAGCGCCTTGGTGAAGATATCAGCAGTGTTGGCCTTCGAGTCCACGTACACAAGCCGAAGCTGACCGCGCTGCTGAAGCTCTCGAGCAAGAAAGTAGCGAAGAGCAATGTGCTTCGTCCTGTGCTCCAGTCTGTGCTCCTGACACAAGGCAAGAGCCGCCTTGTTGTCACCGTACAGAACTGGAGGAGAACTAGGCCGCTCTCCCAAGTCAGTCAGCAGGTAGGTGAGCCAGCGTAACTCCTGTGCAGCCATGGCTGTGGCGTAGATCTCAGCCTCACAACTAGAGCCGAGAACAGAGGAAGAGCGGGTGGACCGCCACGAGACAGAACCAGAGCCAAGGCTGAAGGTGTAACCCTGTGACGACCGCTGCGTAGCCAGGTCGTCCACCCAAGAAGCGTCCGAGTGACCAGTGAGGACAACTCTGTCACGTCCTCCAAGCACCAGCCCCATGCCTGATGTACTGCACAGGTAACGCAGCACCCTCTTAGCAGCCTCCCAGTGCTCTCGCCTGTGTCTCCCAGGCGCAACGTAACGAGCAAGGATGCTAAGAGGGTACGCGAGGTCAGGTCGCGTGCAAGTCATCAGGTACATGAGGCAGCCTACAAGCTCTGGGTACGGGCCACTCGGCTCTACGGACTCGTCCGAAGGTGGAGCTGAGAGCGAGTGGCTGGTAGCCAGAGGTGTGGCCTGTGGTGAGGAGAACTGGAAGCCGAAGCGCTGAAGGACCTGCTGCACCATGTGTGACTGAGTCAGGGTGATGGTGCGGCGAGCTCTGTCCCGGGTGATCTGCAAGCCAAGGTAGCTACGCAGTTCACCCAGGTCAGTGCAGGTGTGTCTCTTCTGCAGCTCCGACTTCACACGAGCGAGTGCCTCAGTGTCAGCAGTAGCAAAGACCAAGTCGTCGACGTACACGAGAATGTAGAACGGCGGCAGCGACGTGTCTGTGCGCAGAAACAGCGACGGGTCAGCAGTAGACGGCGCGAACCCAAGAGCCGCAAGTGTAGTCCTCAGTGTGTCGTGCCACTCACGTGGCGCCTGGCGGAGACCGTAGACTGGCCGGCGGAGACTCCACTGGGTACCAGGGGGAAACGACCCAGTAAAGCCAGGTGGGCGGCGCAGCCAGATCTCCTCGTGCAGGCTGCCCTGCAGGAACGCTGTGCTGAAGTCAAGAGAGTGAAGCTCATAGTCACGCTGAGCAGCAACGTGCAGCAGAACCCGAAGAGTGGTCATCTTCGGGGTGGGGGAGAAGGTCTGGAAGAAGTCGACCCCCTGACGCTGACTGAAGCCTCTAGCAACGTAACGAGCCTTGAAGACAGGCGGAGAACCTGGCGGCCGCTTCACCCTGAAAATCCACATGCCATCGACGATGTTCGCCCCAGGAGGGGGAACCTCGTCGACGTAGGTGCCTGTGGACTTCCAGGATGCCATCTCTGCGTCCATGGCTGTCTGCCACTGAGAGGAGTAGGGACCCGAGATCGCCTCTGCGTAAGTGCGCGGAGTGGGGATGTCTAGTGCATCCGGGTCTCCCTCAGGGGCAAGCAACCAGGCCACGAGATGAGGTACAGCAGCCGCAAGAGAGTCAAAGTCCTCCTGCCTGTCCTCAAGGACGTCCGTGCCAAGAGCACACTCACCCCCGACGGACGGAGGACAGACAGACGCAGACTCTGACTCAGCAACAAGGCTAGCAGCGTAGTCTAGACGACAGGCAGCAGCAAAGTCAACCAACTCAGCGAC